GGCAAGACATTAATTCTGTCAAAAAAGGGAGATAGAAAAAAAAAAAACTTGAAATACCTCATTTTGAGGAAAATGGTTATGCTCTCTTTCTTAATGGCAGACAAGTGCTGCCTGCATGTGACATGAACAGTGCAGATGAGCAATCTGTGCCTCTAAGCTGTCCAGGTTGCAGGACTGAAAAGAGCAGGATTCCAAAAGTAACAATTACCTTTATTTTCTTGAATCAGCACATACTGCCGCCAGCTGCACGGATCTGCCTGACAGTCATGCCTAAGCGCTGTGTATGCATTATGGCCATACAGCCAGCAGCTGTTTGCCCATGCAGGCTAATCATAATAATATCACTAATTAACAGAACACGGCGCAAGGAGCTCCAGCGTTTCTCCTTAAATCTTAGGCTCCTCAGTAATTAAAAAAACATCAACCTTGAGTTAAAGATCCACAAAGCTGATGGCCATGTCTTCTGAAAACTGAGGTGTTAAGTACTGGCTGTATACAAATATCAAGTCACTGCTATTGTTATTCTTCCCATTTTTGCCACTGTCTGCACAACTTTGGAAATGTACCTTTAAGTCTTTCTGTGCTTATAAAGGAAAGTTGAAGAATCAACACACAATGCTGATCACAGAGGGCAAGGCTGAAAGATGAAAACATAGATTTGAACAGCATATTTAACTTTTTTGAAAGGGGGTGCAGGGAACCTTAGATATATCCAAATCCCAAACTAAATGTTTTTGTTACACTAGTCTAACAGCATCCATCAAATATTCACTGTGTGATTTTGTCTGGAGTGGCTGAGATATTAAACAAAGCTTTGCAAGGTTTGTAATAGTGTAGCTTACAGAATTAACTATATTACTGTACTCTGCATAGACATAATGCAAACAGGAGAAAAACAGATACGCAATTTTGGCTTGGAGTTCATTCACAACTACCACTCACTCCATGCTTATATCAATATTTACTACAAGATAATTCACTTAAAAACCTGGATGCATTATACTCTATCTCCTGGTGAGTCAATGAAAATTCTTTCTACAGGCTACTCTTCAGTTCAGTAAAACCACAACGCATAAAAACGCTTTTTACCTTCTGGGAAGTTTGTGGTCTCTTTTGAGTTTACAGTTATGTAAGAGCTGATGATGTAAATCATCTCCTCACTACCTCTCTGAAGACGAGATAATACTCTTATGGCGTTTATGTACATTTTTATTGTTACTATAATTGCTTTGAGGCTTAGTCTATAACATGAGAACTGGTGAAGCTGTATGAGAATAACGCTGGCATGAAAAAGGAGTATCAGAGGCCACTTCATGAAGTTTTGAAACAGTTTCATGCTCCAGTCAACTAGACTGTGACTTCTGAAGCCCAAGAAAGCTTTCTGACATAGAAACAACTCCTCTGCAGCAGATCAGAGGCAACTGTCCCTGCCTCTCTAAACCCAGGACGCCAGGGGTTGAGCCGTCCTCTCTTCTAGACAGCAACCAAAATACAAAATGCGTGAAAATTCTGGTCTGAACTGAAACACAGAGAAATGGCACTCTGCAGAACCGTGCCGTCACATGAATTCTCCTCGCCCTGCAATTCTTAGGACTGATTATGAAAATGAATATTAAAAGCAAAAGAACAGTATTCATACTACTAACTTTCTTAAAATCCAATTCAAACTCAATTTTACTGAAGAAAAAAGCAGACTGGGTTGCGTATCTATCTCAAAAGAACTCAGTTTGATTTTGCAAATGCAAAACGATTACTGGACTTGAAGCCAGGGGGAAAAAAAAAAGGCTTGGGTTTTTTGTTCTTTTTGCTGTTGGTTTTTTAACAGCCAGATAGCAAATGTTTTTATCATCCAGACGCTGCGCATAACGCTTTTTTGCATTGGCATTATCACCCCTTGTACAGATTCCCCTTCCGAGACACTTGCGGCTGCTCTGTGGCACGGTGGGAAATCCCAGGGCGCCGAGTCCTGACCTCGCACCGTGGTGCAGGACTGACCATGCCACTGGAATGGAGTGGAATGAACACTGCTGCTGGCGATGCACAAAAGGGAATATAATCGAGCTTGTTCCACTTAACTGTAGTTCTGCAAGACTAACAAAAGTGCAAGCTATATTTTTGTCCATAAAGTGGGCACATACAATGCTGAATCAACACAGGAAAGAAATCAGTTGGACAGGATCTTTTTTGTTGCTGCTGTTATTTTATGGTGACACCTTTGGAGAACCAAAAGAGAGAGAAAAGCATAGAAAACACCAGGGAAATACTTTCTCAAAAGGTAAACATCTCTTTTTGTCTTTAAGAAAAAACAGTAAAACTCCGTTTCTGAGGAACATGCTGGTAAAAGGTGTGATTTATCAAGATAGGGTCTGCCCTTCTGATGCTTTTACTTCTAATCTGCAAGCTCCTGAATTTGCTGCCAGTCAGATGTCTTTTTTTCTTTTTGTTCTAATACTGAAAATCTTTGCTGAGACTGTATACTAGGCTGGTGGCAGCTACCGGAATATTCTAAGGGGACCGCTTGTGTGCCAGCATGTCCAAGTAATCTAAGTTGCTGAATTAAACATAATATAGCTGAGGCTGCCAGATATGGCCAATATCTGGTGCTCCAGGGGAAAGTGAACATCACTGCGACGCTCAGTCGTGCAGTGCTGTTCTCCAGCTGGGTCTCACTCCACATATCCATTACTTAGGGGCTAAGGTGACTAAATACCATACTCATATATGGTATTCATAAAATCATAGAATCATTTAGGTTGGAAAAGACCCTTAAGATCATCGAGTCCAACCGTAAACCTAACACTGCCAAGTCCACTACTGAACTATGTCCCTAAGGGCCATGTCTACATGATACATAAATAATATTATCATAGCTTATCAATATTATATCTGATTAATAATATCTAAAGTTTAAATCCATCCAATTCTTGAACAAGGAACTAGGGTTTAATTGCAAAATGCCACGAAAAAAATTTCTCTCTTCACTTTTCATTTCATTGAAGTCTGGACATTGCAAGACTTTCAGAAAACCAGTGTCTTGAACACTGCCAGCTCAGCAGGTAAATACCTTTATGTCCATACAAGTTGCGCTTTCATCATATTAAAATATGCAAATAGTATTGACATCGTTATTTCCTTTGGATGAATGTGATGAAAGCAAGAATTCCTGAGAAAAAATAGTTACAAAAATTATTTTGCAAAGATGATCACTACCCCAATAATTGCATATCATCACTTTCCCAAACTATCATGGCTCATCTCACTAGCTTACTAAGGAGCTGGGAAAATCCAGAAAAAAATGGTAAAGTAGGCCCACCCTGCTCCCTCTACAGATATATTTTAGTGTATTTAAATCCGGTTCTAACATCAGTTCTTTCATCTTGGAGCACATATACTGTAGACTGAACTGTGCCATTTTTGCCATGTGATTTCTGCAAAATAGATTAGTGAACGTTACGCAGACGTAGGGCACAAAAATATTCTTGAGTGAGCAAAAAAATCTATTGGATTTAAGGAGCAATGTCTTGGTTCATTATTGCTGGATTTGCTCCATCATGTTTACAAACACTGCCTTGGTACGTTTGTTCTAGAAGACTTTCACTAACAGAAGAGCGAACATCTTCCATACCCTTTTTGGGGAAAAAAAAAATATATATACTAAACACAGAAATAGTCTAAAATATTTCACCCTTTCTATGTCGTAACATATAAAATACATCTGAAATTGAGTAGGAATAAGAAACAGTCTCCAAAGGACAGTCTGTGCCCTCTGGAGTCTGAGTTCAGAATTATGGTTAGAACAGGACATCACCAAATATAGAAAGGTCAGAATTCCTTCAACACCAAGTGAGAAACTGTGTGCATCCAACCTGGCTTCCTAGCAATGTGTGTATGTAAAGATGTGTATGTGTATTAAAGCTGTGTATAAGCAGTTAATCAAGAGGAGCTTAATACTTTTAGAGAGACTAGTGTCTTTTCACACATGATTTTATCATATGCTATGAACTGGAATTTTTTAAAGATCAATTTTATGCATTAACAAATAAACCATTCCCTTTCCCCCTAGGCAACATCAGCAGTACTAAACCAATTTGTGCACATCATTTTTGAAGCATGACGCTCAAGAAACAACATTTCCGATAAGACCTTACCGGTGTTAACAAGAATGACTTTTAGACGTCTTAAGAACAGATGCTTCCCTGACCCTCCATTCAGCTGCACCCTATTTAACTCAGTGCATTTCTCCAATTTGTCAAAATCATTTTGAAGTCTAATTCAGTTCTCCACAGCATCTGCAGTCCTTCTCAGCATCATATGCCCACATATTTCTACTATATAGCATTGTTTACATGAATCTAGAAGATAAACTATTAGAAATCATGAAAATATTTCAAAACATCAACACTTAACACTCCAGTGGAGGAGACAGAAGCTGCAAATAATATGAGAAAAAGAATCACCACTTCACCCTGAATTCAGTATTTCATATTTCCCTGCAATGAAGGCCAAAACACAACATATTTAAAATCCAAAATAACAGAATTATTTGCATCAAGTTTTGCAGAATCTTTACATGGAACTTTTAATTGCTTAGATAAAATATAATAATGAAATTTAAGGGCTCTACTCTTAATTAAAAAAACTGAAAGTGACAAAGAAGCACATCAGTTAACACTAAGTCTAAAAATGAAAGACTCAATAGACCTACATAAAAAAACTCCAAAGAACAAAAATCACGTAAACAGTGGGATCCAATTACAAAATCAATACAGTTTTATTCAGTGTTTCCTGTTATTCATTGATGAAAATACTCAAAAGAAAAACTTTATTGATCGGTAATAAGGTTAGCATGTCTAACACTGAAATTCAGATCGTTTTGTAATTCTCTCTTTCTTTAGCTTCTGAAATATTACTTTCCAGGTCTCAGAGGAAACATGACATCTCCTAAAACACAAATACCTTAGAAGTGAAAACTCCCAGTCCTGATATCAAAAGCGTATTACCTCATTGCATTTACTTATTCGCCTCGCCACAATAAGCTGAATCATTCCCCGTTTGTTGCCTTCAGTGGACATGGACCTCCTTAAAGTTTCCATAGCATCTTGATTTGTTTTGCCCAATAATGATTCTCCATTTACTGCTATTAGTTGATCGTTCACTCGAAGCCTGCCATCCTGGAAAAGGAAAGATTATAGCTAGTTACATCAAACACGCACAAAAGAAGTTTAGTCTGCTGGAGAGAGGAAAAAAAAACAAAGGAAAAATAATCAAACAACTATGCTTACTCCTTTATGGCCAAATGAACACCAGTATAATAGCTTCCATTGCACCCATTGTAGGAAATATCTATTCCAATTACAGATTTGCACTGCAAGCTATTATCATAACCTGTTTGCACAAATAGCATACTAATTGAACTGTACCAGAGATTGCTTGTATCCTTCCCGAGAAATCTGTAAAGGCTATTTAAATCCTGGGACGTGCAAACATGTGAATCTGAGTAGAAATCTAAATGTTACCTCTGATGGTGTAATTGGAAAAAGCTAGTTACAGAGCAATCTCATTCTTCTTGAAACTGTGGTTATTTTCAAAACAGCCTTATTATGGAAAACTGAGGAAGGCAAAGGTACACAGATGTTCCCTCTCACCTTGGATGCTGCTCCACCGTTAATAATGGACTTGACGAAGATTCCTAAATCGGCATGGTTTTCTTTTGACCGGTTACCTTTGACACTCACACCAAGTCCAGCTGATCCAGAGTCATTCAGTGGAACTTCAAATGTCAGGAATTCCCTGGTGCCATCAGGTGTGAGGACAAGCTCCTCTTCTTCCGCTTTCTGTCGGGAAGATTAACGTGGGTTTATAGAAGAGCATTTCTCTTTGGGAATTCTCTTCCCTCAGCTATTAGCATTAAAAAACCCTGCTTTTAACTACAATGCCACAATATTTTCCACAGTAATTATTTGAAGAAACATGCACAAATAGTGTATTTTCAATCACCTCTGGTTGATGCCTAGATTCAGAAATATCTTATGTTTGTGTCTAAGTGCTTTTCTGTCTAGTAAAATTATTGAATCATGTGTCATTACTGAATGTGCCATTAATACCAACTCACACGTAAGCTGCTATTTCATTAGCCAAAAGAGAGCTGTATAAGAAATACTTTCTTACTTGCAAATCTACAGAATTTTAAAAATATCATCATCATCTATGGTAGCTTTGCAGTCATGAGGAGAAACTAAGTGCAAGAAAATTAAATTCAAAAATTCCTCATTCACCTCATTTCATTTAAAACTAGCTGTGTTAAGAAAAACAGAAAATTACACAGCTGAGATCTGCAATAGCACATCTCTCTGCTATTGCCAGGCTTAGCATCAAATCCAGCTCTGAGTGCCAATTTTCCTGTCTTTCCCGGCTCTGCCCTTCACCTCTGTCCTCTTACCCACATCTTTGGTCCTTTGCTGCCTTCCACACCCAGTTTTAGCCTGGCTGGGGCAATCCCAGGTTTTGAACACCAGGAATTATAGTCCCAGACCTGCCAGTGTCCCTGGCAAGGAGCTGCTCAGTGACACCTTTCCATGCATCCGAAAGCCGTGCATACGCAGGAGACCGGCCTCTTGCTTTGCCTCCTGCCGAGCTCAGGGTGGCGGTGGGCTGGGAGCGGGGGCCCTGGGGTGTCCCCACAGAGCGGTGGCACTCGTGGGGACAGCAGGCATGGGCACAGCACCCAGGAAAGAAAATGGTCAGGCCCTGAGGAGCAGTGCTTATGCACAAGAGGCTGCTGCTGAAAGGAGGAATGGGAGGGATGCGCTGTTCACCAGCCCTGTCCCTTGCAGTAGACATTGTCCACTTGTCTCTGACCTTTCTTTCAGTTATAACAAAGTGGTTATAACCACTTTTGGTTATAACAATATCAATTAAAGAAAAAAGTCACGCTCCTAAATTCTCTGCAGTGGACCCAGTGTCTGGCCTCCAGAAAGATGCTAATGAACCCAACTGTGCTGTTTTTTTCTCACCCACATGAAGGAGAAAGAGTAAGAGAACGTCCACCAGAAGATGCACTGTAACGTCTCAACAGTTTGGAAGTTCTCTGGAAGAATTAATCTGGCCAATTTTTTTCCTAACCTTAGCAAATATGTCATCTCCCTTACTGACACTGATTTTATACTGACTTTTCCCACGTCACTCTCATCTATTTGCAAAGCTCGTTCCTCCTGTTTTTCTCCTACTCCCAGATACTTGGAGCAGGACAAAACACATGCGAAGTTAACGTGCATCTGCTTAGCCATCCCCGTTTCTTAAGACCTGAGGAAATGCAAAGCTGACAGGCTCTTTGAAACCCAAACACAGACTACGGCAAAGATGGATGTGAAAGCCATGTGGAGTACAGCAAACTGAGATGATCAATTTGGGCACAAGCATGCTAGTTGTGACACCATTGACCTAGAAATGCAATGCGAAAATGTCACGTGGGAAGGCAGTCAGACTGCTGAGAGAACCAGAACAGCCGAGGGAAGAAAAACAGGAGCTCTATCTTTTCCCACTTGGTTAAAAGAATGAACCTTAATGTGTTCACCAGCCCTTTCCCTTGCATTAGACACTATTTGCTTGTCTCTAACCATCTTTTGTTTATTACAAAGCATAATGCTTCATCAATTAAAAAAAAAAAAAATTAACACCCCCTATCCAAGTGCCACAGCTAAGCTGGCTTGCTTATGAATGCCATTATCCAAACACATCTCTTGGCCATGCAAATCAGCATGATCTGTGCTAGCTGTCAGGAATGGAAAGGTGCACTGTGTCCATGGAAAAAATACTGGATCTAAAAAATATTTCCCAAATTTTGGGAAAATTACAACCTTAATTTTCCTGTTTGGGTCACAAAAGCACTAGTTACAGCATACATTTGAGGTGCATCTTTTGTCAGGTGGCTGCAGAATAAAACAATCTGAGACAGATGCACATTACCTTTTAGTTTCTGTAACACTGATCACTTTCATATTCCTTAATAAATAGTAGGAATAAAAGCTTGTGAGCCGAAAGGGAGATAAAGCCATAGTAGGATGTATGGGCAATCCAAGGAAGCACATAAGCTTATTGGATTTTTCTTTACTACTGTTATCATAAATTTACAGTCAATCTTCCCCCTCCCCCAGTATTTTCTAATGTTCTAAAAAATAGGCCAGAACTTCAGCCACAGCCATCTCCCTTCCAGGGCAGAGAACTAAACTGCTTCCCTGCACAGCCCGTCCCTGTCGTGTGCACTGCTATATGCCAAAGGGTCGACTAGAGAGAGCATCTCAGTAAGCATCCCCAAGGACTTGGCTAATGGCCTCTACACTACTTCTCTTCAACGAGACCAAAGAGCTGCATTATCAGCTCAGCAGTGTTCTTAATGTGAGTCTTCTGCTCGCTTGTTTTCTACAGTCTTAAATAAGAAGAAGATCTAATGCTGATATTGGGCTACAGACACCTGAGTGCGGAGGTGATACTTAAGGCCTAAACCTGGAACAAACTTCTCCTTAGCAGCTGCACATGAGGGAGTAGATCGTGCATGTGAAAAAATGAGAAACAGCAGCCTCAGCACTGGAACAGAAGTAGTGAAGCCATGAGAAAATCGCTCAACTCACCGAAAGAAAAAAATTACCATTACCGGGCTAAGGCTAAATTGCTTTAGGGACTTCATCAGGTATCCACAGGTTTTTTTAACTAAGCCAGTTTGTTTCACCACCATACCTGCATCCGCAATTTTAGGGACATGAGAAGCCTTTTGCCCTCTAGAATGTGTGTGTCATCTGACAGTACCATATGCTTGAATGCAGATTTTAAAAAAAAGCAAGCGATAGAGCGAACAAACATTTCTTTTTGATATCCCACAATTTTTCCTAAGAATACTTAGGAGAAAAATGTGGCTTTCAAGAATAACTGAACCATTAAGATTCAAGGACTATGGATATGAAAGTACCAGCTCTAACATTTGTGCCACAGCATGGGACCAAAGGAGGTCTTACTATATATGATATATTGAACACAACTTCATACGTACAAAACTATATAGTGATCAGGAACCTCTAAGCATGTCATAAAGGAGCCATTCTCAGAGAAATAAGCAGGAAGATTTTAGCCTGATAACATAATATTTTGAACCAAAGTTGTAAAAACAAAACCAAACAAAAAACCAACAAAACCTCAGATTGGCTGAATCCTTTGTTCCCCAAAGCCCTTTAGAGTACAGAAACATTGCATGTATAGCGACTCTCCCCAATCAATTAAATATCAGCTATACAAAAAAGTAAAATTTGCACTGAAATGGTGTTGAACATTAAGTATCTAAATGTAACAAACCACAGAAATTCCTTAACACATCCATGAGACAGCATAAAAATGCACAAAAATCTAAAATGCAGCATTTAAAAATTTCAACTGAGAACACAATCGCTTCTTAATTGCAATAACTTCCATTTGATCTTGATATACTCTAAATTAACAGCTTCGCTACGTCAATCAAACACCTCAACACTATTTTCATGATTAGTTGATCTGTGGGAGAAATTTATTCCTTCATATACTTTGACAGGCCAGCAGTAAACATGCAAGCAAAATTATGTACTGTGAACCCTGAACAACAAAATTCAACTCCCTTAAGATTTTTCACACACTATGTCCAAAACAATTAACAGCAGAACAATATTCTGTTCAGACAGAGTCTGCTGAGGAAAAGCTCATCTGAAATGACTTCAGCTGGATGAATGAAGCTGCTGAAGTATGTAATTTATAATAAAAATTCCATCGGTGATAAAATATGTAGGTGACTTTTTTTTACTTCAAATTCATACTTAGCATCAATTTATGCTAAATAACATTTGAGATAAGTTTTTTACTTTTTAAATATAACATAACTATATCGTAAATTTAAAGATAAACTTCCTGACTAGAGCAAACTTACGACCATGCTTTGATACGTACATACAGAGATTAAAAAAAGCCATGGGATAAACAGGAGGGAAATTATTTTTCTCTTTTACATAACATTGGTTTCTGATCTGATCATAAAACCTGATTTAATTTTTTGAACAACATTAAAATGGACCTTGGCACTAAAAGTGCAATAAGTCTATTTCATCATGTTAGTAACAGCACCTCCTCCTTATCCTTTTATGTTTTAAATACTATGAAGAAATTTCTTGCTTGGGACTTCTTCCCTTTATAAAATCTCATCAGGGTTCAGCTGGTGAGTAAGCAGCATGAGATGGTGAAAAAAGAAACCTAACAGCAAAGAAAAACCTCCTCCCACCTAACAGGGGAAGCAATTTTCAATCAAGCTGGGACAAGTTTCTGAAGTGGCTCACTGCAGCTACAAATCCGGCTGCATTCTCTCCAGTGAAGTTCATTCTCTTGCAAGCTCAGACATGCTGTCTTCTCAGCAGCTATTAAGTCACTGAAACCTGTCTGCAAGTTACTTTGTGATTAGGTATACAGAATAAGTTAATCATGGGACCCTCAGCGAAAATGCAGTGCACTCCTGTTTTCTTTCACAGAAGCAATTAATAAAGCTCTGTACCCCCACTCTTAGAGGGTAACCTGTATTTCCAAGTTATGTATAGAGCACACATGAAAACATTTACAGGGCTCTTGTATGCACATGCATATGCATGTACATATATAAACACACCCTTCTTACATGATGATGAAATTCACATGGTAAATTACGTAACTATAGCACAAACCCTACCTAACGCCTCCAGTGACCCCATCTACATTATCCACTTTACCTGCCCCCAAATCCTGTTGTGTCCAGCCTTCTACATCACAGCCCTAAGCCTGTTAGCCTCCGTTTAATTATTATTTTGCTAACCTATCAACCTTTTACCTCACAAATGCATCTTCTCTCTTTTGAATTTGCCCAGACTGAAAATCTCAAGTTCCTGAAAAATGAGCTTGAAGTCCCATGACCGTTAAAAGCCCACGAGGTCTAGGAAGTGTAGGCTAGAAAAGTTAAGGACTGGAATTTGCAAAATCCCAGGTTTAGTCATTTGGCTCCAATAATGAGGATTCCAAACTAGCCTTTTCCAGAATATTTTCAATCTTTAGAAGATTTTAATACAGAATTCATTATTCTTTCTCACAAGGCACCCGTGATGCTAAGAAATCATTTCCTATACATTGGGAAACCAATAAAATTTGTCTCAGTATTATTATAACAAAACAGAATTCTTATTTTAAAACACGCATAATATATGCAAGAGAGAGGAGATTTCACTTAGCTATTGTGCAAAAACATTGACATCAGAGATGACTCAAATTGTTTTGTCCTTCAAGTTAGGTGGGTGACATTGCTATCGTATCAGACCACCTTCTAAACTGAGATACATCAAAAGATGATGACTCTGACTTTTATCATATGCCATCACATATACAAATGTAGAACACGTTAATGGAGCAGCTGTAAGGAAGCAAAACAGCATCCATGGTCAACAGCTGTTTCATGGAGGGTGATGTTTAGTACTTACAAAAATGTGGCTATATTACTGCTGGAGGTACTGAAAACAGCAATGCAGGTCGCCTGTAACCCACCTCTCCAACTTCAGTCGAGGCCTCTCCTGAGGAGGAATAACTGAGAGCTGATGCATCCTCCCGTGGGTAGGCATTAAAGATAAATATAATTACAGCAGCTCATTCAGATTTAAAACTGGACCTCGGGCAGAGAAAAGCCTGCCTACTGATCCAATAGTGACACTCACGCTCCAATCCAGTTTCCCCCCTGAAATACAACAAGGCCTTTTATCTTTTTTTTTTTTTTTTTGAAATCTAACAATCATGTTGCATCACAGGTTATAAGGGCCTAAAGTGTCTACTTACCTAATTATAAAATTATATAGGGCTTAAGCCAACTAAACAACTAAAATTCTTATGCTTGCTTTCTTTTTCTAACTCTTCCTAGGTTAAGTATTTTAATATTTCCCATATGTTAGATAAACACTAATGAATCTTATTTGCACGTATACACTGAGACTCATTATTCATATTAGTTAAGTTAATATGTCACATCTGGCAAAGACTGCACTCTTGTTCAAATCAAACAGCAGCTGCTAAATATCAAAAACTACATTTGAATTCTGAGATTTTATGGGAAATGTGGTCTGCTTTAATTTTAATCCCATCAAGGAAAAGTTTTTGCATATTATAGGTGGATTAACTTTGGTACGTATTTATATGTAGAAATGCTAGCTCATGAAAATACTGCAAAACAGGCCCTTTACATTTCCAGATATGTCCATTTTAAGGATTT